TTGAGATTAGATCTCCTCTAGAAATTCGAAGACATTATGGCATATGGTGGTTTTGATAAATGGATAATAAAATAGATAAGTTGTTTACTGGGGTAAAATATATATATAAAATTTACACTTTTAACCATTTTAAAATCCACAATCCAATAATTGATTTATTAAGTATTTATTATCTACTATCTAACATTGTAGGTTCTAGAGACAATGGAACCTAATAAGGTATAAAACCTGCTCTCAAGAAGTTTTTAGTGTTATCCTTTAGTTTTAAGGAAGAGCTACAAAAATTAAAAACCATTTGTTTCTCTTCTTCTACTTCAAGTTGAATGAAGAAAGCTAGGCTAGAGCGGTGTCTTCCCTGAGACTTCCTCGCTGGAATAAAGGTCAAGAGTTCTTCTACATTTGGAGAAAAAGTGTATCTTGAATTGCTGACATGGAAAAAGACCCTCTGCAGTGGGGTGCAAAAAGCCAAACTGACCCAAGCCTGTGTGTGTGTGTGTGTGTAGTAAGGGAAAAAGAAAAGATTCTTTAATGTTAATGATTACTTACACAACTCCTAAAGTCCCTGGCACTCTTTCTCAATTCTGTGTTCTCATAAAGTCTCTTTTCTTCCTTAAACTAGTTTTAGCTGAGATTGGTTAAATCCAAACACAGAATTCCTTAATACTTATTACTAAAGTTGAGGTTAACCCATTTGGTTAAAGGGACATTCTAAAAACTAGTCATGATGAAGGCCAAGGTAGATATTTTTAAATCATGTAGTTTTAAAATTTTGTTACTTAAGATCATTTTGTCTAGATTTGTCCAAAGGAGATTACATAAAAGGCCTTATTTGTTTTTAAATAAAAATTTCCTTTATATGAATTAAAACTAATTTCATAATTCAAATTAGGAAAATATATCAATAATCCTGAGATTAAGATTTTACCTCATCAGTTTATCTATACAAAGCTAATAACATCAGTTAATTCATTCTATTTAAGATTAAATCACACCGCCACAAAAATTCTTCCAAATCACTGATAGAAGGTTGTCACAAAATATCCCAGCTTGCAGCCAGAATCTCTCTAGCTCATTAATGACAATGCTATTACCGGAGACACAGAGGAGTTCCAATTTCTGGGTTTGTAGTTCTCTTTTTCTAATAGCAATAAAATGAGAACCATAAGGAAACAGGTAGGGGGAGGCACAAGGCTAAGTGAGGAAAGGAGACAAGAAGATAAAGAATAGAGATGAATGATATATTTGCAGGGCCAGCAAAAGCATCCTGTGGTTCATCAATCAAACAGGATCTTTTCAGTAAATATCTCTCACTGTAATCCTATAATCGCCCACATAATTCTATAATACCCTCATGAAACACCTACTCTCCAATTTTAACAAAACCAAGACAAGTGTTTTCTCCCATAATAGTCACCTTTACTTTCCAAATGCACTCTCTCTGCCTCCTCACATAATTCTACTGCTTTGAATTACCAACAGCAGATGCAAACTCTCTCTCCTTGAGACATTATGATGATCATTTATCAGTTCACAGGCTCATCTATAGCTCTTCTCTTTTGAAATAACTCAATTCTCTTTGCTGGAGAGAACACTTTTAGTCCAAAGAAAAAATGACATGTGACTATATTTCTACATCAGCAGACAGGATAAGATTACAGAAAAATACAATATGCTCTCTGGAGTAGTAGATAGTAGAAAGTAATCTCCCTTTTCTTTCCTCCTCTTTCTCATTGGCCTACTTGTGGCAGCAGGTTTTACATGGTTATGCACCAAAGTTTTTCATACTACAGATTGTGAAACGCATCCATGAGTGGCCCAAAAAATGTTGAAAATTGAAATAGATGAGGATAGAAAAAAATTAAGGGGCACTGCAGATAATAAGAGGAAATTTTTTCCCATGAACCTTTTATTTCAAGTGTGTGTCAACATGTAAAGAGCATTCCTTACTGTGGATTGAGCTCAAAATTTTGAAAGTTATGTCCTAAGTCAAGTGGTATCTTCATTACAGAAGTCCTCATCGAGCATTTTCTATGTGCTTGGCACAGTTCTAGTGTTTGGGACACAATATGTACAAATCAAATAAAAACTTCTGCCCTTTTGGAATTTTCATTTTAGCAGGAGAATTGACAATCAACAAGAATTGCAAGTGTAAGTTATAAAGAGTGTTAGAAGAAAGTAGAGGCAGTAAGAAAATTCAGAATGATGTTAAGGAGGCCTTGGTGTGCCCAGAAAGGACATCACTTTTTTCTTTAGGCTCTTACTCTAGTCTTTATTTCCTTTTCATTAAATATGCTGTGGTTTTCATCTTTTCATTTATGTTTCTACATGGTAAAATCCTTAAGTGTTTCTATTAGGCAAGCATCATTTCCATCGCTATCAGTTTTGTACAAGTTAATGTCTACCCTTAGAGAATTTAAACTAATCCATGGTAAATAGCAAATTAAAGAAAGGTGGCCTCCCTTCTGCAACCCCTACACCCAGAAAATCAGAATGAGGGAGCTGAATTGACCAGACAGCTCTGCTCTAAACTTTTGCCCTGGATACCAGTAATCCTGCCCTCTTTCCTTACAGTTTGCCTTTGTGATCAGCAATAATCTCCAAAGGTAACTCTTTATCACACACACACACACACACACACACACACACACACACACAATGGCTGGTCCCCTTAGGCTTTGACTGGATTAATTTACAAGTGTTCCTCTAGGGGTGTTAATTAACACCTTATAAGCCTCTTGACCCTATAGTCTTGGGCACCTATTAAATCCAAACCATTAGCTTCTGTCTGGGGATTTCACAAGGAGTCTCAGATTGCAGTTTTAGTACCACTATTATGCCAGAGAAATTTTGTTTGCTTTTGTTCGGGGTTTTTAAAATTGTACTTATTGGTATTTCTATTCAGGAGCTAAAAAACCAACCCCAAGAAAATCATCTTTACAGATCTCACAGGCAATACCTGTAAATTTGGTGATTTCTTTTCTCCCAGAGGCCTCCAGGAAGTGGTCTTCTCTATTTCCTGTAAGCCTGAGTTTCTGGGAGAGAAAGATTTAAATGGGGTGATCAGGATGTGCCTAGTTAAGAAAATGGCTTCTGAGCACAGGTTTAAGGAAGAGAGGTGTGGTAGGGGATACAGGGACAACATTCCAGATAGAGAGAGGAGTCTGAAAAAAGACACCAAGGCATAACAGCAGGACCCTCCATTTGGCTGGAAGGCTGAGTTAAGAACTGTAGGCATTTCCAGAATCAGGAACTCCAGGCATAACAGCTGCTTCATCATACTTCTCTATGGTGAAGGAAAAATTTAAAATTCCAGGACTTAAGAATAATTGGAAAAGAAAAAGAGCTTTTAAATCAAATTGTAAATGATACAGATTGGATTTTCACACACCTCCCCCCTGCATCCTTATTTCTCACAGAATAGCAGTAAACAGAGGAAACAGTTATGCATAGTTTATACTGTAACTCCTCAGAGAAGACCCTTTGGCTTCTTTTATTTTTCAGAAATGAGAAATAAAAAAACAAAAACAGATGTGAGTGGACATGGATTTTCTTTCAAGATTGCTATTTGAGTTATGGAATCATTATCTCACAAATATTTACTCAATGGGCAAGTTATTTTGCAGGGCATTGTGAAGGGGCAGAGAACAAAATAATTATAGCACAAGACTGAAAGTGCCATAAGATGGATTTTTAGGAAATGTGATATCTAATCAAAGAAAAAAAAGACTCCTTGCTGCTGAGGAAAATCAGGGAACTCTTCCTATAGGAAGTATTTTCTAAACCATATAACAAAAGATCTCCCCATATCCTAGGGAGACAATAAAAGGTATATTAGATGATATCTCTAGATGAGGCCGTGTTGGTGAGGTCACCAAAGGTACTGTGTCAACTGCCAATTTTGTGGATGAGGGGTCCTAGATTCCCAATCCCATGGTACTGTCAGATGACTTTGGACCACAGAAAAATTGCCTGGGTAAGCCCTTTCCTAATCTTGACCCACAACTGTTTAAATTAAATAGAAAGGTTATTTAAAGCCACTAAACTGGGGTTTCCTATTACACAACAACAGGAACTGGAACAGGTACATCCGGGTCAGTAAATTTAAAGATGTTGGACAAGACAGGGCTCACATTCTCCTCCACTTCAGGTGCTGATGTGGCCAAGGTAGGTCTAGACATTGGTGAGTACAGCCCCAAATGAAACAGCTGCTTTGTTGGAGCAGCATGGAGTAATGAGTTGAGCACAGGAAAGAGGGGCTCAGAAAACCTGAGTATTGATCCCTGCTCTGGCCCTTGGCAGCTGTTGGAAAGTCAGCTAAACTCACTGAGCCTCTCATTGAATTTACGTGCTCCCCCAAAATAGACAAAAACACTTCATCCCTCAGACAAAGGTCTACTATCTTGAATCTATAAAGAACTTAAAAAAATCAGACCTCCCAAATTTAAAGACCCGATTCAAAAATGGGCATCTGAAATGAACAGACATTTCTCACACAAAGAAGTAGACATGGCAAATAAACATATGAAAAAATGTTCATCACTAGTCATTCGGGAGATGCAAATGAAAACAACACTGAGATTCCACCTCACCCCAGAAAGAATGGCTGCTATCAAGAAATCAACCAATAACAAATGCTGGCAGGGCTGTGGGGAAAGAGGAACACTGCTCCATTGCTGGTGGGTGTGCAGACTGGTGCAAGCACTGTGGAAATCAGTATGGAGATACTTCAAAGAACTAGGACTGGAAGTCGCATTTGACCCAGCTATTCTCCTGCTGGGTATCTTCCCAAAGAATTAAAAGAATCATACCACAGTGATATATGTGGACCCATGTTCATAGCAACACAGTTTGTAATAGCTAAAACTTGGAAACAGTTTTAGCTATTATTTTTTTTCTTAAAGCATTTTACTTTCAGACACAATGGAAAAATCAGAGGTACACATGGAAAAGAGACATGATCACAAAAGATCTTGGACATGATCAAGTGAAGATGATCTAACCACAAAACCTTAGTGCTTCTCAGCTCTGTTGAAGCTGAGGTTCTGGGACCATGACATGCTGCAGGGCTCAAAGGAATGGGTAACCAGTATTCCTCTCCTTCTTCCTCATCTTCTCCTTCAACAGAATCCACACCAACCTCCTCATAATCCTTCTCTAGGGCAGCCATGTCCTCCCGGGCCTCAGAAATCTCCCCTTCCTCCATCCCCTCACCCACGTACCAGTGAACAAAGGCACACTTGGCATACATCAGATCAAACTTGTGGTCCAGGTGAGCCCAGGCCTCAGCAATGGCTGTGGTGTTGCTCAGCATGCACACAGCCCACTGCACCTTGGCCAGGTCTCCACCAGGAACCACAGTGGGAGGCTGGTAATTAATGCCAACCTTGAAGCCAGTGGGACACCAGTCCACAAACTGGATGCTGCGCTTGGTCTTGATGGTGGCAATGGCAGCATTGACATCTTTGGGAACCACATGATCTTGGTACAACAGGCAGCAAGCCATGTATTTACCATGGTGAGGGTCACATTTCACCATCTGGTTGGCTGGCTCAAAGCAGGCATTGGTGATCTCTGCTACAGAAAGCTGTTCATGGTAGGCTTTCTCAACAGAGATGACAGGGGCATATGTGGCCAGAGGGAAGTGGATGTGGGGACAGGGCACCAGGTTGTCTGGAATGCTATCAGATCTACATTTAGGGCTCCATCAAATCTGAGGGAAGCAGTGATGGAAGACACAATCTGGCTAATAAGGCAGTTCAGGTTAGTGTAGGTTGGGCGCTCAATATCGAGGTTTCTACGACAGATGTCATAGATGGCCTTGTTGTCTACCATGAAGGCAAAATCAGAGTGCTCCAGGGTGGTGTGGGTGGTGAGGATGGAGTTGTAAGGCTCAACTACAGCTGTGGAAACCTGGGGGGCTGGGTAAATGGAGAACTCCAGCTTGGACTTCTTGCCATAGTCAACAGAGAGACGTTCCATCAGCAGGGAGGTGAACCCAGAGCCAGTTCCCCCACCAAAGCTGTGGAAAACCAAGAAGCCCTGTAGACCTGTGCACTGGTCAGCCAGTTTCCAAATTCAGTCCAAGACGAGGTCAATGATCTCCTTGCCAATGGTATAGTGTCTACGGGCATAGTTATTGGCAGCATCTTCCTTGCCTGTGATGAACTGATCAGGGTGGAAGAGGTGGCAGTAGGTACCAGTGTGCACTTCATCAATGACTGTGGGTTCCAGGTCTATAAACCCTGCCCTGGGCACATGTTTGCCAGCACCCGTCTCGCTGAAGAAGGTGTTGAAGGAGTCATCTCCTCCCCCAATGGTCTTGTCACTTGACATCTGGCCATCAGGCTGGATGCCATGCTCCAGGCAGTAGAGCTCCCAGCAGGCATTGCCAATCTGGACCCCAGCCTGGCCAACATGGATGGAGATGCACTCGCGCATGATAGCTACGGGTCAGGGGGGCCAAAGGCGACAGGAGCAGACACTGGGTCCTGGTTACCATCCTCAACAAGCTAAGAGTCGAGGTAAGTAATGCACTCTTTTTTTTTTTTTTTATAAAGAAAAAGTTTATTTTCATCACAAGAAGCATACATATTATATACAATACAAACCAACAGAAGTAAAAAAAGTGCATTATGTATCTTCTACTGCAAGTTCAGAATACAAAAGAACTAGGACTGGAAGTAGCATTTGACCCAGCTATTCCCCTGCTGGGTATCTTCCCCAAAGAATTAAAAGAATCATACCACAGTGATATATGTGCACTCATGTTCATAGCAACACAGTTTGTAATAGCTAAAACTTGGAAACAGCCCAAATCCCAGTAAACTGGAGGCTGGATAAAGAAAATGTGGTTTTTTAAAATAAAATGGAGTACTACTCAGCCATAAAAAGTGAGAAATTAGAGACATTTATTGCTAAATGGATGCACATTGAGGTCATATTCTTAAGTGAAATAAATAGGACACACATGTGTAGATACCAAATAGTTTCTCTAGTGTGAGAAACTGAAAGTGTAAATAAGGACTAAAAGGTATAATAGATAATGTGAAATAGGAAGAAAAGGGCAAAGGGGAAGGGGAAGTGGGAGGGGTAGGGGAAAGAAAAGAAGGGAATGGAATTAATATGAGAAAATGAAAAAATGGAAACAAAGTCTTTGTAAATAGGGAGGGATGGAGGGGTTGAAGGGAGGACAGGGAAAGGGGGAAAAAATAAGAACCAAGAGAGATTATGTAAAGGTGCAAATTTCCAATGATGAATGTCATTACATTGTATACCTAAAATGTACCAATAAAAGGATATCCAGTTTAAAAAAACACTTCAAATACCATACAGCTTATTCAATTATATGACTTTTACATTTTTTAATTAAACCAATTCATTCATATAGCTTAAAATCCAGTGCCACCAAGGGCATATGATAAGGAACAGTAAGCATCTTCCCTGCTCTTCTAACCCCTGTCCTGCTCCCTATGGACAGTCACATGTAACTTTTCACTGACTCTTCTAGTAGTTATCATCACATTCCTAAACACTGTGATTATTCTAAAATTTAATAATTCAACAAGATATTGAGGAGTTAGCTCTTAGACATCACCTAAAAAATCACTTTTTAAATTTCACACAAGATCCTGAATTTCTAGCTTCTTTTGAAAACTCAGAGACTCTGTCAGGACCACACCTAATCCCTCCTGACATCTGCTGAAGGGACTTAATTGGGACTCTCATTCACCAAAGGCCATAGCTTTTCCTACCCCATGACACTTCACTCAATTAAGTGGTCTGATCACCCCCTGCTCATCTTCATTACCTTTTGTAGCAGCTCTCCCAGCAGATCATGAATTTATCAAGATGTCAACCGACATGTTACTCAGTGCTCCCTCAGAACAACTGTTTCTATATATAAAAAAAATCCAGGACTTTAAACTGTGAACAATATGTTAGTTGTTTAATAAGTACAGGTACTTGAAATTTGATCAATTGAGAGTATTTATATGAAAGTGATGTATTTCTATGGTGGGTTTGTTACCCCAACATAGGAAAGCTGATTTCAAAGTCCTCATTGTACTCCAAGATTGTAGATGCTGATCTTTCCAATTTCCTGACTTCTCTACCTCACTACATCTGTTAGGTCTCCTGGAAAATATCAGTTCTTTCCATGTCTTACAAGTCTTTCTCAGACTATCCTTATCTGTCATGAAGCATCATTTTAACTATCATTGCCAGCAGTTTTGCATCTGTTATCCCTGGCCCTGTGTCTACTCCTTCTTGGACTTGGTTCCTGATTATTGCAGGAAGCAAGTCCATCAGGAAACTGCATTCCAAATTCATCATGTCCAAGTGACCTTGCAGAGGAATTTACACCTATGACCATGGAGCATCTATCGATTACTTTGAGGGATCATAAAAGATAAGATATTTGAAGGATGACAATTATTTTAATTTTAAAGGGAAGGAAATGTGGATTTCAGAATCAATAGACCCATGATCAAAACATTATATAATGGTTAATAAAAAATATATCAGTACTGAAGAAGAGAAGATAAGTAGAAGACAACAGGGATTCATAGAAACAGACTGCCAAACTAGCCTCAAATAATTTTTACATTTATATAGCTGATCTGGGAACACAATAGTGATCTCTCTGTATGTCATAATTTTGATAATAACCATCCCTTGACATTCTTGAGGCCAAAGGAAAAAGGTGGGGTGTACGGGAGAAAGAACTTCTGCTGTTTAAAGAACTATATGTTAATATTATTCATACACTAAATAAAAATTTGCTCATTATTTTTTAAGTGCCAAACACTGATAGATACTTGAAACACTGATTAATGGCAGGGACTCAATTGAGAAGTGACTAAGAATATGCCTCATACACACAGCACTCATTTTTTTTTTTTTACTTTTTTTAATCAAAGAGATGAAAAATCCTAAGGCATTAATTTGAAAATGTGAAAATTGGCCAGGAGCAGAGACCCCCCAGGGTGGAGGAGCTGAGCCTTTTGAGCTGCCATACACCACCATCAGTGCCAAAGAGCAGAGACCCCCCACCCAGCGCCAAGGAGTTAAGCCACAGGGGCGCCAGCAGCACACATCCCCCTCCCCTGTTGAAATGTGAAGACACATAAACAAGTCTCAAAACCAGACATCCAGATCACCTAAAGCAACCCCAAAGGGAAATGAGATGGAAAAATCGGATACTCAATACCTGGACTCCCTGAACTGGCAACAAAAGAGGATCTGGAAAAAATGAAATCAGAAATAATTTCTCACATAACAGCAGAGATTGTGTTTATAGTGCAGGACATGATTAATATCTCTAGAGCAGAAATAGATTAAAAAATAGAGATGTTGAGGAACATGATGGAATTTCAACATAGGAAACATGGAATCCATAAAACAGATGCAAATAGATTTTCAGGAGATTAAAAACTCCATTGAAAGTTTATGCAGCAGAATGAGCCAGTGTGAGGACAGAATTTCACATATAGAAGATAAGACTTCAATTAGTGACCAGAAAAAGAAAAATTGCTTTAGAAAAGTAAGGAACCACAAGGAATCAATCCAGCAGCTGCTAGGTGAAGTAAAGAAGAAAAACATAAGACTGATCAGAGTCAATGAAGAAACAGGACAGAGTTCAGACAACAGAAAAAAACTGTTCACAGAAGTGATGGCAGAAAACTTCCCAATCAGGGGGAAAGAAATTGACATACAGGTAAGTGAGGCATGTAAAACTCCAACTAGTCTTCATAAAAAAAAAAAAATACACATAGGCATATAATAGTTAAGATTCCAGAAAC